GTCATAAATCAAGCTCCGAGAAATGAAATCGATCGCAATGGGGGCATTCCTCGAAAAGGGGGAGGCTTGCACCCCCGATGCACGGCACAATGCAAAAATCCCCAGCGAGCCGGACTCCGATCCCCGGGGGAGAAGTTTCGTACTGCTGGACTCGCACGCGGGGAATTAGATTAAAAACATTAAAGCCACCCCCCTCGTCGAAAGCCACCCTCCTCGAAAGGGAGGAAGGAGAGTGTAGTATCTTCGCGCCACTAGTCATTTCGTGATTACCCTCGCGTCGAATGCTCGCTGGACCGCGAAACGAAATTAGAGTTCTAATAATACGCGGGATTTAAAGTTGCCGTGGATGAACAACAGATGCGCCGCCTCGTCGAATCTCTCTCTCTCTCTCTCTGTGGGAATCGCGATTAACCGTTTCGTCGATCCCCGTCACGGCCTGTGGATAAACGTGGCTTCTGGGTATTTTTTTCTTTTGTTTCGTAAAGAGCCGCTGTTCGAGGGGAAGGGGATAGGTCACGAGGGTAGTTTTTCTTTCCTCTTACTTTCGATCGAATATTTGTTCGAATTGTTGCGCGGTTCTTTTTTTTTTTTTATTTCAAAAACATGGTTAGTTTTTCGACAGGAATTAGGAATTATCTCGTAGGAAAGTTGTTTAACTAGCGCGACTGTTGCGCAATAACGCGTTAATTAATTAGATCGGTAAAGCGACAGGTGACAAGTTGTTGCATACTCTTATAGACGAGTTTTACAATGTTTTATTACCCGACTTGCCGATATTGACACGAAGCTTGAAAAGAAAATAGAAAAATTAGAAAGAGAAAAATTTGCAAATATATATATATTCTCTTTCTTGAATTAATTTGATTAAATCCCTACGTCAAAAATTCTCTCGAATTAATCACGATGAAATTCAGCGTGTCAATTTCCCTTCGACAAAATTTCTAATCGGCCACGTAATAATCGGCGCACCTTCCCCGCCCCTTCTAACCCTCGTGCGGACGCATTACCATACTAATTGCGAGCAAAGTTCGCAAGCGGCGATTTATCGGGCCGCCCGGTGTATCGGCGATAAAACGTCCGCCAGGCCCAACCGATTATGTCCATGCGAACGTTCCTCCCTCTCTCTCTCTCTCTCTCCCTCTCTTTCTTTCTCACACTCTCGAAATGGCAACCCCTCGCTTCGAGAGGCCGATATCGCCGCTCGAGAGAATTCAATGTTCTACGATACCGCGGAAACGTTACGGCCTAATGGGCGGAAGTTTCGACTCGAGTTATGCGTCGCGTGCTCGTTAGATCGGCGAAGAGGTATCGGTGAGAATTGAACGGTCAGATGGTGGATTTATATTTAATTGATTGGATGGGAAGTCGAGTGAATTAGGATTGAATCAGGATTTTCTTTGGGGAGGGATTTGTTGTGATTTAATACTTTACGTTAATCTTTGGATCGGATGGAATTATTCGAACGGACGTTTAGGGAAAATATTTAAGGGATTTCGTAATGTCTTGATGAAACGGATACTCGGATTCCATTGAGAATTAAGACAATTAAAATGTGATTAATTTTTTACCTCTTCCTTGAAAAAGTGGAGCTTCGAAGAGGGAGAGTTTAATAATTCTCTCTAAAGCTCCGTAACGGGGAAGGAACGCAGTTCGAGTGAATTATGAGTATCCATATAAGCCTGTCCAAGCTCGGATAGGCACTTTGTTTTTTAAACGATTCGTCTCGTTTACGCGGAAGTTGGTGCGCGGCCCTAAGATTAATCGCATCACACCGCTAATTAGCAATAATTCAATAGGCACAGCTGTACGTCCCGTTGCATAATTGATTGTTTAGAACGGTGCATATGTAATCGCATGTTTCGCTGCTGATCGTATTAACCGCGGTGCACGATAATCTAACGTATTAGGCGGAAATGGACGGATGGGCGTCGGGGTAATGGAGCGATGGGAACGAGCAGGGGCGCGTTAACCGATCGAGGAAAACGAAAAAACGAGGAGAAATATTTGTGAGAAGAAACAATTATAACTTATAATTCCCAATAACAATTTGAAAAGAACCTTTACTTCCAACGAACTCAAAAATTACGTAAATCTAAATCCTGCATAAAATAATTTATCTCTCGCGTTTCGAGCAAACAAATAAACGCTAAATCTACGCTATCTTAACGGACAATCATAAAAATAGTGTACAATGAATTCTCTAGCCTAACTCTAAATCCGCCACGAATCTCGTCCTAAGAAAAGAATCAAACCTTAAAAAAAAATGAAGAGAAGAGAAGAAAGAAGAAAAGCGCACGAAAGAAGCCGAGACAAAGAGTCACAAATCACCGGATAGAGCGATGCAAGGCTAAACGGCGAGCGCCTCGAGGATCAGGGTTATAAGAACACGAGGGAGGAACAATGGAATCGATCGAGATCCCCCATAAAGATATAATTCGAGGCCGATCGATCACCGGGCCCAGACGCGCTGGGCCCGGTGTTTTCCGCTCGTGGTCGGACGTGTCCACCGGCAGGAGAAAGAGGAGGAAGAGGAGGAGGAGGAGGAGGGGGGCCTCGACGCGTAACTCGGTGCACGCGTTTGTCCGCCCACGCACCATGGCGGACCACCACGGCGCGAAAGGACGGCCGAAGGTGGTCGGTTGGTGGAAAGCGTGCGCCTTTCGAAATCACTTAAACTGATTAGGGCCGCGTACTCGAGCAGGGTGGCCGGTGATTTACGATCGCCAGTTTCGCGTTTTCGACTCACGAATGGCGGTCCTCGTTACTCGGCCGTCGTAAAACAACACGTGCCACAAGGGAGAGAGAGATTTCTGGTTCGAAGAATTGTTGAGAATAAAGCGATGGATTTGGATCTTCCTCCTGTTTTTAAAGTTTTGGGAGCGGATTGGATGAGTTACGTTTGTTGACGGTGAATTGCATTTTTGAGGTATAAGAGACTTGTGTTGGGAATCGAGTTTAAAAGGAGAGGTTTAAGAGTTAATTTTTGAAAATATAATGTCTATGTCTTTGACATGATATAGAATAATACTATATTAGTATGATAAAAATATTCCCTTTGATAGATCAAAAATTTAAAATTAACCTGAAATTAAGGATAGAAATTAGATTACATAGTGGAATTTATTAAATGGAAATATTAAGGGGAGATGAGATATCTACGATAACGGAATAAAATTAAAAATCGTCCGTATTGGGAAACGAGCATGGGAATGATAAATTTCATAAAATTGCGAATTGAGAAACTTTTTCGATCTACATACTCAACGCAGCATTTTTAAATTTTTAATCGTCAAATAAATAGATAATAAATTATACACGATTCAAATATTCCTCGAGCGAAAAGAATTCTTTTCCCGGGCGAAAAAATTTCGAAAGAACGAAAATTTTCGATACGCTTTAACGCCTCGATACT